GCAGATTCTTTAGATTTTATCAAGAATCTCTAAATACATAGCAGAAGCACTAAACCAGATGTGAGAGCAATATTCAATGCTGGGACAAATGGCAAACTTATAAAGGTGTAAGATAGATCATGGCTATATCGTGGAACCTTGAGATATGAGTTTAATTTCTTCCATGACAGAGTTTTAAGTCAAGTTACTCATATGTCGAAGCTATTTTAATCACTTAAAATAAAATACCATTAATCCATTGCAATCACTTCAATAAAACACCCTACATTTTTTTTTATACATACTTTTAAAACATGACAAACGTATTTCACTATAGTATAAATAAAATAGAATACATGTGTGAATGTAGTAGTATTAAATAGTGCTCCAAAAATAAGAAAGTATGCTTGCTTACCTCTGACATTTAAGGAGCAGCATTGAGTAATCGTAAATTAAATTTGAGAGTAAATGGCAGATGTTGAAGTGTGTGTCTTGTAGGAGACAGTTGGCGGAGTTTTTCTGTTGACTCATAAAACTTATCAATACTAATTGGTATGATTTATTTTTATTAATTCACTTCATCAATGAACTTAATTGCTAAATATTTTGTTACAGTTAATATTTTTTTATTGCCTTTGCCGTTACACATGTACACTTAATTGCTACAATTTCTTTTTTATTTATTCACTTAACTTAGCACTAAACTTAAAATTACATGCATTATTATTTTTTACTTAACACTTAATCTTCATCACCGACATACACATTTTCTCCACTAATTTTTTTGTTTTTTGAACACGCTTTCTTGACTTTGAACTGAAGGTCGTTTCAATAAAAGAAACTATCCATGTTTGTTGGTTTCTTCCTTCTCTTCAGAATTTTTCTGAAATGTGTTAAGCAAGTATCATTACACAATGCCAATGCACAGCTTGTTGACATTTTTTTCTGGATGGCTTTATTCTATAAAGTCCACCAAATCCTCCCACATACCACTAAAATTTTCCGCATTTTTTTTTTTTTTTTTTCAAAAATAACCATGCCATGTCACAGTTGAAAATTTGTTGGGGGACGTACCCTTCTACCTCAATCAATTCAGCATATTCATCCACTGCTTTCTCATCAGAACTCGCTGCCTCACCATGCCTCATGACCGAGTGAATGGCAGACCTCTTCCTAAACTTATCAAACCAGCTATGACTGGCTTTAAATGAATCTTGTAAGTCTAAGTCTGTCAAAATGCCTGGTGTCTGTTCAGCAAGTCACTGTAAATCACTCATACTTTCTCACAAATAATGTCCTCTGTCAAGGTATCCTCTGTGAGTTGTTTTTTGTGCACCCACACCAATAGCAGCTTTTCCTTCTCTTCATGAAGCATAGTTCAGAGCTTTGAAAGAATCTTAACGCCTTTGGCTTGCATAGTTTTCAGTGTATCCATCTGTTTAAAAATAGTGCATATTGTCAAAGTACTACACTCAAACTACTTTGCCAAATCAACAACATGTACTCTATGTTCATATTTTGCAATGATTTTGTATTTCACTTCCAGTGAAATCATTCGCTTCTTCATAGCACTGTTCTTTGGACTTAGTTTCTTAGGGGTCATGGTTGAGTTACAACAAAGAAATTTGGCAAAATAACTGTACAAATCAAAACATGAACTAAACATGAACTAAACACAATGCAGCTTACAATGCGGCTTGACCATACTCAACTAGATAAACAATGAAACTAGCCATGTGGGTCTTATTGTTGGCACGAGATGCTGAGAGAGCTTGCTTGTCTTCTGATAGTCAATTTTCTAAATCAAAGCTAGCAAGCTCAACTCGTACCTCAGAGCAAACTTGTAATCTGAAGCAAAAAAAAAAAAAAAAAATTTTTCTGCCCATACACATGGAACACGCCTAAGTTGGTTTATTCATATGCTGAGGTTCCATATTAGAATGCAGAAAAAGATGTATTCCTGTTACATGTTACCAAATATAACTAAAAGTTTATAATAAATTACTAACACCTGTCAAGGTTGACTATGCACAAAAAAACCAAAAAGGAAGACATTTTTATTTGCGCTACCATTTCTAAAAATATTAAAGTGGCCATGAAGCTCACCAAGAATCTCTTGAACATCTGTCATCTGCTTCAGCAAACAAGTCAAAGCCAAGAATTTGAATTCTTATTTTTATACAATGAAGCTCTTTAATGGTTTCCAAGATAAACACAATATTATAGCAAATCTTTAGCAGATTCAGGCACTTGTAAAACCTGTTATGAAAATTCAGCATGTATTTCCTATTGAGTGATGGTTATCATGCTTGCTTTACAAGCTATTATGAATTAATTCTATCTTCATGAGATGTTTTGCCATTAAATTTAGCCATAAAAGCAAATGATCATAACTATTCTGCTCCAATGTTGGGCTGCTGACCCACTTCTCAAAACTTGATGACAATTTTTTTTTTTTTTTTTTTTAAAATGGTTTCTTGATCTGTCCAGGGTCTTTTCAGTATTCCCTCATAAGTTTTGTCTTATCACACAGCCACAAAAAAAAAATAAAATAAAATTGAATGATCCATAAAATCCAACTGTAGAGTTTAGAGCTTCTTTCATGTCCTTGGTACATCAGTCTCAAAACTTTCTATCCATACTGACAAAAAAAACACTCCTACGCAAACTGTTTTCCTCAGTAAAACTATTATCAAACCACTGATACATTATTTTTTTTTCCTCTACAAATAACTAATGTATAGCAGCATAAGTTTATATGAGCTTTGTCAAGAAAGCATCCAGCTATTTAATATTAATTAAAACATAGCTTACTTAGAATATGGTATCTTAGTTTTCTCCAAAATACTCCCCTTGGGACCTGACACAGTTATCCCAGTGTCCCTTCCATTTCTCTTTTGGAGTCGTCATCAACTGGTTCATCACACTCTCCTTAATCTTATCCTAAGTCTAAAAATCTCCCTTTTCAACAGTGATTTCAGCTTTGGGAAAAGTCAGAAGTCACAGGGAGTTAAATACAGATTGAAGGAGAGGCATTGTCATTATGGATACCACAATAACACTATACCAGCTTAATAGTATCTTCCTGCCCACTGAGTAATTCCACAAGAGAGAATCTATCCCAATGGACTAAATAAATTTGAAATTTTGAAATTCCAAAATATATCACCTGAAGAAGGCAGGAGTGTACAACAGTCAAAATATTGTGAATATGACAATAAAAATGAGGACAACAGTCTGAACAATGTAAATAATCACAATACCTCATCTCAGAAATATAGACAGGAGAAAAAACTGTTCATGGAGTTATATTAAAGGTGCTCTATAGATACCCGTCACATTAAATCAAGGCAAAACAAATTGTTTTAAGATTCAAAACGGTTGGATACTTTCTGGATATACATTGCATGCATCACTACAATGAACAGAAAGAACCACCCTGAGTGGGTCTTAAGTGCATACAAAGTTTTCAGCACTCTTATTTTGAAAACTAGAGAACAAATACAGTGTTGAAAGCTAGTTTTTCACTGTTGACTTCTGCACACTTAGTATTGTCTAAAACTTTTTTTTTGTATTTAACTCAGCTTTGGTTTAATATGGAACAAGCCCAAACCAGAAGGAAGAGTGTGCTGTACTAAATTACTAATTAAGGTTAGTGTTAGTGGGAATACATAACAGGTTTGAAATTGAGTAAATAAAATCCTTAATTTAACCTGAGCTTTTGAGCCACAATAAAAAGCACACAAATATTTTACCTACCAACATTTTATATATATATATATATATATATAAGTTAGTTGAGCACTTGCGCAAATAAGTTGGTTGCGTGCTTGTGCCATAAGAAAATGCCATTTGGTGTTTAGTCATATGCCCACTCAAATGAAACATGACACAAGGTAGAGCTTAATTTAATCTCACATACACAGGGGATTAGTGACAAAAATTGCTCATCTCCCTTGGCATTTTCCCATTGCATCAGGGATTGACCTTGATACTCCTTATCTCAGTGCAATGGGGGTGGTCCTGCCTGAGTGGTGGTGAAGGAGCATAATAAATACACAAATTAATGTTGATTGATATTTATCCATACACATCCAATCAAACAATTTGAAGTGGGAGCCTTATGTATATGGGACTAGGTGCAGAAATTGCTCAGCTCCCTCAACACAGACTTCTAAGGTGCCTCAAGCACCAGGGGTTAACCATAGTCTTTCCACTCAGGAAAGGTGTTGATTAGTGGGTCAGTTTCATAAATAATAAAGGCCACAATAGAAATACAATGAGATTTATTTGTATGCTCATTGAATGGAATGTGGCACAAGGCCAAGTTTAAAGTGTGAGACCAACAAATACTTGGGACAAGTGAACAAAAATAATCCAGTCTTTTTGGCATTTTATCTTTTGGTGACACTTCAGGCACCAGGTATTAACCCTAGCTCTCTTCTGAGTGATAAACTACATAATGTTTGCAAATCCCTCCCTCTCCCCCCAAAACACAACCCAACAACTTTACACATTTTGTCATTAATATTTACAAGCCTGTTTCTAATATCCTAATTTATTTGTTGCTCAATGGTCATAACTATTTTGCATATTTGGCTTTAAAAATTAAATTTTTTTAACAATATCTAGTCTTTTGTGATCTTGTTTTGTTAATGGCCTTTATAATTAAATTGCATACTTAGTCAAATTAAGCTATTTTATGATCTGGAGTGGTAACCAACTGAGCATTTATTCAGTGATTCATTTTCTACAGCTTATCAACCTTCCGCAAGTGATATAAAGCCAGAAAATAGTTTTAGATCCTAAAAAAAAATTTTTTTTTTTTTTTTTGAGATAATGATTTAATGATACAAGACAAATCTTACTAATTAACCCATAGCTGGAGGAAGAAGAGATGAATTCATACCTTTCCCAAGGGAACGTGCACGTAAATGAACATAAACAAAACAGGAATTAAAACGCAGCTCTCCAATTAACAATTCTGAGCCATTATCTATTACACCAACTGCACATCCAAGCTTACAGTATCTGGTATTCCCAAGTGGTCACCCATCTAGGTACTAAACAGGTTCAGTATTGCTTAACTTTGGTGATGTTACAGGAACCAGTATTTCAATGTGATATGATCATAAGCAACCTGAACATTTCAATCACAACTAAGAAGTAAACAATATATAAAGGGAAGCTGGTATTGTTGACATTTTTAATAGTTTATTTTATAAATCTAATAACTATTATATTATCATGAGTATATGAAATAAATGACAGCCAAAACTTTTAAAAGCCGTGGAGCTGTTTTAATTATGACAATTTTGTTCATACTGTTTTTAAAATGGTATCTCTCAGTTTTTGAACACCACAAGTTTTTTTCCTAAATACTTAGCAAGTAGGAAATTAAATTTTGATGGTTAGTCATGTAGCTTTCTGAAAATTAAAATTACAAACTCAATTTTTAGTATTGGCTTATTAATTTGATTTTTTTTGTTTAAAGTAAAAGCTTTTTTTTTTGGTTTTAAAATCTTAGAAAAGCCAGAAAGAACACAAGATATAACAAGAAAATTAAGAACTAAATAGAATATTTTAAATGGAGCGTTGGATGAAAATCCAACAGTACTAATTTTGGGATAATGCACCACAGTCCTAACGGACAGGTAATGAGACTCATACTTTACAGAAGTTTTAAAATTTAGTTTGTCAGTATATACACACACACACAAATACATACAGAGACAGTGAGTCAATGCTAACTATTATAAAAATGTTCAGTTAAAATGCTTAAAATTTATAGAGCCTAAATATAAAAATTATATATACAAGATGATACACAAGAGAGATACGAGAGAGAGATACGAGAGAGAGAGAGATACGAGAGAGAGAGAGATACGAGAGAGAGAGAGATACGACAGAGAGAGAGATACGAGAGAGAGAGAGATACGAGAGAGAGAGAGATACGAGAGAGAGAGAGATATTGAGAGAGAGAGAGATACGAGAGAGAGAGAGATAGAGAGAGAGAGAGAGAGAGAGAGAGATACGAGAGAGAGAGAGAGATACAGAGAGAGAGATACAGAGAGAGAGAGATACAAGAGAGAGAGAGATACAAGAGAGAGAGAGATACAAGAGAGAGAGAGATACAAGAGAGAGAGAGATACAAGAGAGAGAGAGATACAAGAGAGAGAGAGAGATACAAGAGAGAGAGAGAGATACAAGAGAGAGAGAGATACAAGAGATATGTTCACTGCCATTTGTCAGTTTAAAGCAAAACATGCTTGAGATATAGTTTTGAGTTTAGGTGCATCAATTTTACTAGCCCTTCATAATTCAAATTTCAAATCCAAATACAGATATAATTTCACACCCGAATACGCTCTCCTATTCCAGTTGGCACCAATGCCTCTCGATTGAGCAACATCAAAATTCCCATATTCACATGCCAATGCAACAGAGCAGAACATATGCCAAAATTGGCAAATAAACATGTCTCAACTTGACATGGGCTTATCCTTCTCAACCACAAAAGCTGCATGTGGCAAAGATATAAATCGCTCCCCCCTTCCATTTCTGATAATTAGTAAATCTGGATACACGCAAATCATGTGAAGCATCAATGTTTATTTAGACAGATGGCAAATCAAAATGCACATCAAATTTCTGTCAGTGCCCAATGAAGGACAACAACAACTTCTCAATTTCCAGTGACTAATAAGGAAATATTATTTTTACCTTTTTCCACAAGACAAGCTCAGCAACCCTCAAAAGAAATGAAAGTGTCATGGACAGAATCTTCAAAGAAATACAGGAGGAGATGGAAAAATGAAAGGCAAAAGAAATATGAATACAGTCATAAGAAAGAAACAAGCGAGAGAGAGAGAGAAAGAAATGGAAATGATGCCTTGTTTCTTCTATGTACGAAATCATGGCTCTCCACAATTTCCTGTCCTTTGTAGCTCTTAGTAAAGTCTTTTTTGTTATCTCTCTTAAACACTGCTCTGCTATCCATTTATACAAGACTACAAAGACTAGTATAAAAAAAATAAAATCAGCCCATAGTTAAAATAAATTTTTATATCACGAAAAGTAGAAAGGCTAAAAAAAAAAAAAAAAATGTACATTTGTTCATTACAGACTGCAGGTTACTTAACAAGAAAATTGTTATACTTATATCTAGCACCAAGTCATAGTCACTGAATAAGAATGGAGTTAACAGTGAAGGAGTCACATGGGAGTACAGTTAAGTTTTTGCCAACTACATTTTCCACTTCTCTTGTAGCCATCCTCAGTTGCTTATTATTAAATAGATTTTTTGAACTGGACTAAATTTAAACTCCAGTGGGCATAAATGGCCTCAGTAGGAGAAACACCAATTCTTTGGTCACAGGACCTGGTACAGATTTTTATGGCCTCTGCGTCACCATTTTTGTGACTTGCTCTGGTCACATGACACAGAGGGTAGGATTCTCAGTAAAGAACGGTAGCATATAATATCAGTGATGGTTCTATTTATATAGTTGATAATTGCAATGAGTCCAGTTTAGCACAAATCAAAATGCAAAGATTCTCTTCCTATCTGTGAAGCTCACATTTTATTCAGGTTTTTGACCATGCATGCAAATTAAGAATGGTTTTAAAAGAAC